TTTTATTGGTGTTTTTAATTTGGTTTTCAAAGCATTTATGTCACTATTGTCCAAGCAGGAAGCTCTTGCTTTGTCATTCTACAGCCTGCAGTGTGCTTTGCAGGCCTCAGCTACATRAGCMTAATTCCCATTTYTAAGAGGCAAATAAAGAARTAGTGTTCCTTCTTTCTTGCAGCTCCAGAGTAGCTCCCTCTCTTTTGATRCTATGGCTTGGATTAYTGTTTCAAGGGGCAATGCTGTTGCTATCTCCTTTCACAYCCATAAAGTYTGTGCTCAGCTCCCTCCTTCCCCGTCAGCAGGGMTCTCTCTCAAAGAGAAATAYCAGTATYTGTCTAGCTTGGTTTCTTGTAAAATTGTACCAAATGRTGTTYTTARAGGAGTTGGGATGATGGATACTTTKCAGTGCTCTGTCCCTTGGGAGTTTGAAACACTGGGTCCTGGCCAACCTAATCTGTGAGAGCAAAGCTTCAAATGAGTAGTGAGAAGCACAGATGCCCATTTAGCAGAGGAAAATTTATTGGTGGCTGCTGAGGGTGAGAGACAGTCCTGTCACTTCTAACCTGAGGCAGGGAATGGCTGTGTCAAATCTCTGGGCTCACTGGGCAAGGTGGCATCAGAATTGGAATAAAATCCACATTCTGGGGATCTCAGTTATGCTGTGTCATTAYTGAGTTATGCTGTGTTCATAAAGGCTCTTTAGTTTTATGGTATAAGAAGAAAAGGRAACACAAATTATTTAGTAGGCTTTTCAAATTCTTCTTGAGTCTGAGCAGGAGTAGSTTTCTGAAATGGTTTTGGAGCAGCTGCACTGTTTAATCTCAGCAGTATTTTCCCTTCAGTTTTAGACCCTGAAATCATTAATTTAAGTGCAGAGGATCATAAAATCTATTCCCTGCTCAACATTCTGTATCTTATGTTAATTTCAGAAGCTTTTATAGAATTTTATTTTTCATGGATCTTTCCACTTTGGTCAAAGCACTGTTAAGATTTWATTCAAACAGCTTGTAGTTGTGTATGTCTATATGAATATATCAATGTATAGGTGTATATACATGCATGTGTGTGCAATACTTTGGCAGATTATTACCTCACTAACATGGTTCAACAAGCAGCATTTATTACAATAACAAAAAATGTCTGTARTCCCATAGGCATTTTTAGAGACAGAAAAGGTATGAGGCTTCTACACCCAGCCAAATGGCTGTTATTTGTTGAAATATTGTCTGTTCTGCGTCATATTAAATATTTTTTAAAAGCAATTAAAAAAAAAAGATTGTTCTAGAATTTTCTGAAATACTTGCTTTCCTAGACTTTTTTGACTGCWTTAGTAGAGGTATTCCAATGAAATTCATGGAGTGGAAAGCTGTGCAGCACGGAGCCAGACAGGGCTGGCAGCAGCGTTTGTCCCCGGAGGCCARTGGCGGTGTTTGCTGTTAAATTGTTGGGCATGGAGTCAGCCTGAGGCCTTCAACTCTTCTGCCCACCTGCTTCAAATGGGACCTGGAACTGTTAAAGGAGGGCGTGGGCTCCCCTAAATCCCCTCAGCTGTGGCTGCCAAGAGAGGTTTTGGGATCTACAACACTTGATCGTGAGCCCGTGTGTATTTATAGAGGGGATGAACTGAGTGCGCAGGGCAGCCTCAAAGGCACAAGGAGTAGTTTGGTCCCTTTTGTGGGAGGGAAGAAGAGCTTGCCTGCAACTGTGGAAAGCTCCTGGCTGAAACAGGGAGTGGGAAACACTAATTATCGGATTGGTAGCCATAAGAGAAATCTTTGATTCCATCCTAAGGGGTGTTCGTTTGGCACTAGCAAGGCCATRTCTGTCTCAGGCACAGCACTCCCTACTCCCATCCTCAGTTCAGGGCAGGTTCTCCTCCCTCAGAGCCCATTTTTATCATTGTTCAGCCTCTACACCAGCTTCACCTTGTCCTTTCAGACATGGGCAGAGCTCTCATGAGCTGTCTGTGAGGGGTTGGGCCTCGAGCCATGTTGACAGAGCTGTGTGGCAGCACAAAGGTGCAGGGCAGTTGGGAAGACCACACGGACTTCCTTCGCAGGGTCATTTTGCATTTCTTTGGGGTTTTACAAATGTGTGAAACCACACACTTTACAAATGTGTGCATGGAGGTGAATCATTTGGGTTTGTTTGGCTGTATTTGTATAGCAGAACTCGTTCAGCTCTCAGCTGTAGTGGAAGGAGAAGGGTCCCTATGTCAGTCCCTTCTTGGGGTGTGCATGCCATCACAGAGCTCTTTCCTGTGGTCAAGCCCATGGTTGGACTCCTGCTTGTTAGAATTTACTATTTGTAGAGCTGGGAATGTAGCACTGTATGCTGTTGTTTCCTTTTCTGAGTTCAAGGGAAGGGAAATCCTTAGTGTGCTGCTGTGTCTCCATCTGGGACAAGGACGGACAAATTCTGTGCTGTGGGTGTGTTCAAAAGCTTTACTATGGATCAGACAACTGCAGAATGATGCTTTTTCTTTTTTTAGGTATTCCTTCTACTAAGCACTGGGGGATACTGCAGGCACTGGGAAAGCATTGTCTGAGGGAAGCCAGCAATGTTTTAAAGCACAAACATGTGCCTGCTACTGTCAGATGGAGTTTCTCAGTCATTTAAAATATCAATGTAATATCAAATATTARTGTAAACATGTAGATGAATTGGCAATTGCTTTTTTTGATCTGCAGRCTTCTAGTGAGTTGTTAACTACCTGGAGCTGAATGCAAGATATTCCAATGGGCAGCTGTCAAATTATGGACTTTTTTTTTTTTTTTTTTTTGTAATCCTGCACGTTTTATATTGTTGTATAATACAAAAATGTCATACATGTATTCAGCTGGATAGAGGAACAGGGCAGTTGCAATTTGGAGCTGAAAAGAAAAATAGTGACCTGACTGTTGTGCTGGGTATCCTTTAAGATATGACAGGAACCCCTAGGATGTTTTAATTTGTATTTATCTCTGATTTTATTTCTTCAGTGCAAACTTTTAATAACTTTGTCATTTAACCTTGTAGGGATTTAGTCTCCTTTTGCTGTCATCTAGTTTTCATGTACTTGTCTCCCACTCAGCTTGCCACGCAGCACTTGTGTAGTGATTACCTAATGCTGCAGTTTCCCGCCTACTTAGGTGGAGATCCCTACCAGTTCTGCAATACTGCTGTCTTTATTCCACACTGGGGCTAAAAGCCCCAAGGATGAGAGATGGTGAGCCTGTGTACTGRCTCCAAAAGCCCGCTTGCTTGTCCTAAATCAGGCTGTACTGTAACTGGAAGTGCCTTTGTTTGGATATGCTGAATTGCAGCCTGCATTTCACAGGGATATGTACAATTCTGACAGAATGACTAAAAGCCTCTAGTRTTAGTCAGCCTGATCTGTGAATCATTTATCACCAATATTCAGCCTACTTATTCCCCAGCAACAGAAAAGGGAATCCCAAAGAAGGTTCAGTTTGACACATACATCAGTCTCAGGTGGGCTCCTCTTATTTTTTGTCCCATCTCTCTCCACAGTATTGCATGCAGTAACATTTCCTCTCCAGAGGCAGAAAAGGAGTGGATGCAGTTGGTTCTGATGGCTGACAATATTTGCCCATGTATGCTGCAGAGAGCTGGGGGCTGGCAAGTGCCTGTGGACCCTCTCCCCTCCTGCTTTGCACAGGCCTGTGCAGGGGGCAGTCCCTGCCAAGGCAAGGGCAGCAAATTTCAGAATCTAACTTAAATTTACTGCCTCTTGTACTGTCAGAGTGACTGCAGGCCGTGCAAGGCTGAGGAGAAGAGCCCTCTCAGCTGACAGTGGGAGCTGTACCCAAGTGGCAGTCAGTGAGCTGGAGGCTGCAGGGTGCMCTATGACAAAAGAAAACAACAGTGTTTTGTCACTCACATTAACCATTGTCTCTCTTGTTYTCTTATCTTCCCCAGGAACGAGTGGAATATCTCTTTCTCATAATTTTTACAGTGGAAGCATTTTTAAAAGTAATAGCATACGGACTTCTCTTTCACCCCAACGCTTACCTCCGCAATGGCTGGAATTTACTAGATTTTATAATTGTGGTAGTAGGGTGAGTACCAACCATTTGTTTTTCAAGGCACTGTCTACATGGGGATACTGGCAAGCTTTGGGGGCACGGGATGGTGAGTGCTTAGGGCATTATAAACAGGTGATGTTGGACATTGCTGTCCATTGTGTTCCTCTGACAAACACCATTTTGATGGCTTGCAAGACAGGGGAATGAAACTGCACGGATAAAAAGAGGAAGCATTACAAGGCTGTTGGATAAAGTCAATTGTCTGAATATGCTTAACTGCAAGAAAATGAATTTGTTTCAAAATCTGTGTGAACGTTAAAAACTAATATCTAGGTAATCCCATAATTAAGATTAAGAGTTTGATGACAGATAAATTCTGCCATCTTGTGAAATTTTACTGATGTTTCTCATTCTGAAAGATGGAAGAAAAAATTAATTCCCAGGTTTTTCTACTTACAAACAAACAAAAAAAAGAAGTTACCAGTTCAATTGCATTGCTCAGCTGGTAATTTCCACACTTTTAATTTTGACTGTTTCAATGTTTTAACCATTTAAAAGATTAGTTTTACTGTTGTAGATCAAATTGCTATTTTGAGCTGCAACCTTTCTAATTCCCTTACTCCTCTCCAGGTTTTTCAAGTTTGGCACTTATTTGAATAAAAGTAAAGTAATATACCTTCTGCTTTTTCTACCTAAGGGTAAGAGATGAGCAAGGGATTGAAATTGTGGTTGTTGAAGGGAAGAGGTGAAGGATAAACTATCACTAAAGACAAAGAGAACAAGTATTTCTTTGCCTGAATAATTGTCCCATCCTCCCACCACTCCATTGTTAGACAGTTTAATCGCCCACAAAAACTTGTAATCTTTTCACCTCTTTACCAAGGAAATCCTGCATCAGCTCCTAGAGAAAATGTCAAAAGGGACGCTCCTAGTCATCAAAACCCCCTCATAATTTCTTCCCTAAACCGATCTGCCTTCCTGACCATTTTTTGTGGTGGCCCCAAAATATTTAATCAGCAAACTGCTGTGTGCTTCCCAATACCTCCCACTTCCCGTCACCATGGATAAAAGTGGGTGGAAGGAGAATTCCCAGTAAGGGGGAGGGAGAACAGGCTGAAATCTATTCTTAGTCTCAAGGCCTCTCTGCCTCCACATGGACATAAAGCTTCTCCTTACAGCAATGCCCAYTGTGCTTCTCCTTTGTTCCTACCCTCAGACAGAGGATCCCATAGCCTATCAGCAACTGAAAACTGGAAAATCCCCAATCTTCCCTGGTACTGATGTCCAATTCCATAGTTGGTTCTGCCACTGAATGCCCTCAGATATCTCACCTGTTTTGAAATTGCTGCCCAAGTTGAAGAAAGATTGAAGAACAAAACTCATTGAATGTGATTATTCCCTTTTCATTTTTATGAGAAAGGCATTTTAAAGAGAGGACACATTGCCTCCTCTTTTCCCATTGGAATGTGAGAGAGCAGGGCTCCAGAAATCACAGAGCAGCATTATATCTACTTTAAGTACAGCCTTTTTCAATTTTCCTACTAGGGCAGTTAATCAGCAAGATGATATTCAGGCTGAAATTAATTCCCTTGCCAATGACAGAAGCTGCAGCTCYCAGCCCTTCTATCTGCTTTTGCCTCCAGCAGCTCTTAGTCACTAGATGGGGAACAAAAAATGTAACKGGGAAAGGATTACACGAGTATAATAAACATGGCCAAGACCCCAAGGTCTCTGTTAAATAGTAACAATCTCAAGTGACAGATTCCACTTCAAGGCCAGATGGGTTCCTTTGATGTTTATCTGTTTAAACTCACTCTTACAGTACCATAGCCCAGGCTGGTGCGCTGCTTTTTCTCTSCACAACCCCTCTGCAAAATCTACGTGGTGATACCATCTGTTCCTTTCCTGCCCTGTCTCCTTTTCCTAGAGGCTCTCTGAAATCCCTCAGTGACATTATGTTTAAACTTCAGTGTATTTGAATATTTTGCCAGGAAGGAAGCCCCATGGAAAAGGTTTAAAATAAATTTTGGAGAGAGAGAGAAAGGGGGAAGAAAGCAAGTGCTGATAACAATATTTTCTTATGGTGCCTCTTTCTGCCTATTGGAGCTGTTGGAGAAAGCTGAGTAATTTGAACACAGCTGTAGTACGGGGCAAAGGGATTAATTTGGTGTGGGGCAAAGGATGGAAGGACTGTGGTAATTGCCATTTGTGCTTGCTCTGCCTTATGAATCATCTTCATTTTCAATAATGACTGTCCTTGCCACAAAACACAGGCTAAGTGGGAAGCGCTTCTTCAGGTACTGTTGGAAGTTAAAGGAGCAAAACCAAAGAAAGGTTTTAGATCTTTTAAATCCATCCAYACCCAGTTCACCAAATAACTTCAAGAGATAATAGCACATTGGGCTTCCTTTACCTTGAAATGAACTATTCACTAGAGTAAGAGGAAAATGGACATGTGTAGGACCAGGTATAAAGTTTAGAGGGGACTCACAATTCCTGTAAAAAATGTTTAGAACAATGTGCCTATATACTTTCCCCTGCCTTCTGAAGACAGGTCCCCTGGTGCCCAAAAGGATTTTAGAATCAGTGATTCTAACAAGTCAGTGATTCTAACATGGGAATATGCAACAGCAGCAGAGGGGAGCACTGAACACAACTGCTGCATCTTCTGGTGAAAGGATGCACTTTAGAGCTGTAGTCTTGTAGACTTGGAGCAACTGATCATTCTGGAAGTGTGGGAGACCTGTTCTTATTAAGAGTAGAGACCAGACCCCGAGGCTGCTTAATGAGGCACAACTCACAACCAATTATGTTTAAGCAAATTGTCTAAACCCACCTCCTTCATTTGTGCATCCTCTTTAGGAACACACTAAAACTTTCAGATATCACAGTGACATCCTTTAATACTAGGCTGTTGGAGGAAATTTCTCTTAAGACAAGACCAGTTTGACAATATTATGATAGGAGAGTGTCTGTCTTTCCTGGCAGTGCTGTGGTTTGTCTGCCAAGCACAGTCATTCTCCAAGGACCTGTAACTTCTGCCAGAAAAAAAGGTGCTGTAATTTGAAAGGCAGTATTACAGTCTTACTTGGGAAGGTAAGCAGTAAAGATATTTGGACAAAATCTGAAGTCAGAGCAGACTGAAAAATGTGGTCACCATAGAATGGAAAAAGYAGTCACAGTCTGTCTTTCTGAAGACCTATGGGGAGTTTCTAGAGGGCAGATCCAAACATTTTCACACTCACAAATCACAAGTGAACTGTAAAACACTGGGAGAAAAAGCCTTTGTATTTCACCTTTTTTTAATACTTAAGAGGATTTTTTTTATCAGCTATGTTTTTCTGCTGATTTTTGGCCTTAGAAATTCAAACCCTCTGTTTTCTTTTTAAATTTTGGAGGCCCTTGACAAGTTCTTTTTTTATGCTATAAAAATCACAGTGTACTCCCCACAGAGGAAGAGATGAAGAGCAGGTTACAGCCTTATCATGCTGCTGTTGGGTCATCTAGCAAAATGAAAACCCTTTTGATATTTCAAATGTCAAAAGGGAAACAGAAAAATATAAGAAAGAAAAACAGTGAAGCCAGCTTCATACTCCACAGGTAAATGTAAAACCCCCCAACAAACCATGGAGTGTGTCCATACATGTGTGTGAAAAAAAAATGTTTTTCTGCTTCTACAGTTCATATCTGTCATATTAGTTTAGTTAAGGTRTAGTTATGTCACAAGTGAAATTCAGAAATCAAGGTTCTGTTAATTATGCTTCATCACTGGAAAATACAATATCCAAATGAAAATGGGACATGAATTTAGGTTGTCAAAAAGTAGTTATATGGAAGGAAATAAGGTTGTTTTCTGTTAGGGTTTTTTGTTGAGTGTTTTTTTGTTGGGTTTTTTTTGTTTTGTTTTTTTTTTAGTGGTGAGATTTTCAGTGGCCACAAGAGATTGGCCCTCTTTGTACAATCCAGACTTTGATTTCTCTGTCAGCACGGTGTTCTCTTACCCTGTGCTTGGAGCATGCTAACTCACCTGCTGAGAAAGAACTGCACCTCACTCCCCCATACCTACTGAGAGCTTTTCACAAAGTTTTTCATTAAAGAGCAGAATTTCCTATATAAATATAAGATAGAAGGGCTCTGGCCTCATCTTTTGTATCAGCAGTTTAACACCCATCTGGTCATTTTAGTCTCAGCAAACAATTAGCTGGAAAAAYTAAGAGCATTAGGTAGCTGTACTTCATGGATGTCTGCCCATGCCCTAGAGGGAGGTGGTGAGGACGAAGTAGAAGAATTGACAAGATGTACTATAAATCTGAAGAGTGGAATAGAGATTCAAGGGGCCACATTTGGCATAGTCTAGACCCCAGTACAATAGACAAAGAGAGTGAAATAAATCAGAAAAATATGAAGTTGTAATGCATTGGTAAAAAGCAGGATTACTACGGGGGAGATATGGAGTAAAGGCATTAAAGAAGGATTAGCAGGAGTAATGCAATTCAAGTTTAAATGTAGGTTTTTAAATGAGGAGCAGCAGGAATTATTGCAAATTATTCCTGAAGTGCAGTAGGTAGATGACTCTGGGTGCCTCAAAAGAGCACATTTAGCACGCCAGTGCTGGAGCACACAAATAGGGCCAGCTGGGCTGCAGTGGAGCTGCACTGCTCTGGGAAGGCAGGCTCTGTCTCCAGAGGAGTAAGCTGTCCTACTGCTTGTGTTTCTGCTCCTCCTGAACTAATTTAGGACATTGCTTAGGCAGCAGAATTCTAGAGCAGTCTGTGGTTTGCTCACTGCACGAGTGGCAGCAGAAGARAAGCAGCCTTGGTGCCCAATGCCAAGAGCTGCTCTTTGGGAAAACATGGGCCTGTGAAAATGGGCTCCAGGAAAATGGACCCTCAGCTTTGCACAGTTGCTGACTCAGATTTCCTTGAGATTTCTAGTCTTGGAGCTGAAAAACAATATTAGAAACCTTTTGGCAGTATATTCTTTTTCCTTCAGAGGATCCCAGGAGACTGGAACTGTTGTATAGGTGTGTCACTCATCACCTATTATGGGAATTCTGTGGACTAGGAAGATAGAAATGTTTGAATGTGAAACAGTGTGCATTGCTAGAGCTTAATCAGTCACTTACTGAAAACACATTAGGCCCAATTTGACCTGCAGTGTTTCTATTATGAAGACCAGCAGATAATGCAACTGTRTAATTTGTGTACACAGCTTAAGAAACACATACATTCCAATAATTCATGTTCTTTGCATCAGCTCTTGTTTGTCTCTCTCTGTGATATCTGTAGTCAATGCAGTATTTCTCATAGGCTCTGTTTTTGTCTTCTCTGCATCCTGCTTCTCAGTCTGCAACACCTACAAACTCAGCATCCAACCTCCCCACACACAGTTTTTCCCACRCTCATTACCTAGTTGTTAAATCTTTCTGTGGTGCTTGAAATTGAGGCTTTGAATAGAACCAGTTAGGAGTTCCACAGTCACAGCTGACAAGTTTTATAAGATTCTTAACATGAATTAAAAAAAAAAACAAAACAAAAAACCAAACAAACAGAAAAAAAAGAAACAATAAAATCAAACCTGCTTAAGAAAGGAATTTCACATTTGCAGTTCCCTAATCCGTGTTTTTGTGGATTTAGTGCTGGGGGGATGTGTTGATTTAGATGCTTCAGTAAATGATTCATTCGTATCTCCCCATGTTTGTGGCCCCATCAGTAGGATTTATCTGCAGGCTGCAAGCGTTGGAGCTCCTTGTTAAGCCATCAGCCAACTCAACCTCTGCTTGATCCACGGTCTGGGGGCTCTCTGTGGAATATGCCAGTTGAGATATTGATGAGATACTGACAGAGGCACCACAGGTTGCCAAGTCTGCAACAGAAACCAGCGCTGTATCCAGGCTGCTCCATCTAGACTGGTTCTTAAAGCCCAGGAAGCTTTTTTCAAGTTGTCTGGGGTACCTCCATGGCACCCTACAGGCCGAGGGGTCTCTGCCACTCCCAGGCAAGCCTTTTCTACAAAGTGCCAAACATCCATTTAGGCTGGAACAGCTTTTAACCTCTACTGAATTTGGCTGGGTTCAAGCTGAGGATTTCAAGTCTGAAAGCAATATCATTAGCAAATTCATGAGGAATCCGTCCTCCCCCAAATGTACTAATGTTTTACCAGAAAAATGGAAGCTGCTTCCTGAAAGCTAATTTATTAAATCAAGTTCTTATTAACAGATAGGGCGAGCCTTCGGGTTTTTTACAGAAGAACATTGTCTTTTCTTTCTTGCTCTGCCTTTTTAAATGCATTCTGAGTGAGACGACATCTCCTTAAAGCAACTATTCCKACTAGCCAAGATAAAACATTACTCCTACTAGCCAAGATAAAACATTAAGACTGGTATAATAAAACATTCTAATAATGACTCTTGCAGTTTTGCACTTTGCTTAGGCAGTGCATCAGGGGATTTACTAATGGATCCAAAAGCACACAGTGTGAGCATAATCTCTTATCTAAAAACTTGCYCCTTGAAGGGTCCTCATGTTTTACACCAAGTTCCACCTGCAGTGACAYTGGTGAATCTTAATTCCTTGTAAAATGGGTGACAGATAATTAGTGATRGCATTAATTAGGGGTTCTGATTTTCTCCCCCAAGGTGAATTGCTGGTTAGTAAAGACACCTTGTAGCTGGCTGCAAGGCACCATGGAGGAGCATGAAGGAGAACCATTGTCATGTTTATGTCTGCTCCAGAAACAAGTGTTTTGCAAATGGTATAGACATCACCAATAGGCTGTTGCATATGCGAAGAGTCTGTCTCTCCTCCACCATATGTGAATGTCGAGAGAGAGGTGTGACAACTCTTCACAGGTCTGTGAAATAGTTTGGGTGATATGATGGTGATGATCTCTGTTCCTATTTAGCCCAAGCCTTGCTGTCTGCCTACAGATTGTTTCCTCTTTCTTTTTGCAGGCTTTTTAGTGCAATTTTAGAACAAGCAACCAAAGCAGATGGGGGGAATTCAATAGGAGGAAAAGGTGCCGGATTCGATGTTAAAGCACTGCGGGCTTTCCGAGTATTACGTCCACTACGGCTGGTGTCTGGAGTTCCTAGTAAGTAATGCCATTCTTTTTCTTTTATGTATGTCTGTAGTGTGGCATAGGGCAGGGRTAGTTGTAACAATTCTGAAGATAGAGAGTGATACAGGTCATTATTGGTGTATGGGGAAAGACTTTTTTCAAATGTATGTATTCATGATAAATGTGATCTTAATCAAAGGATGACCAAAGCAGAGCTGCAGCTGAATAGAAGTCTCATGGTATGTCTGTGCAACCTTTGTAAACAATCAAAGGGGAAGATCCAGGATTTTTTGTGATTTCAAGCAAAAACTCCTTTAAATAATTGTGAAATTATAGTGCATTTCTGGTATTTTAAATTCTTGACTGTGATGGAAAATCTGCATGGTCATGTGTGCTAATTTTGGAAGGAGAGGAACTTTTGCATTAAAATTGMATTTTCTTCTTTGTATGTGATGTTCAGATCAAGAGCGCTGGGAACAATTTAGAAGCAAAAGAATACAGGACAATGACATACTCATGTTCTTTGTTAGTCTGATTTACTTAAATTATTTGCAGTTTCTCTGAGAAAGTCCTCAAGCAGCCTTTGATAGTCTTTMATCCGTTTTCTTGTTTACAATAAAGGTATGAGTAGCTAAATCTGATAATTCCATTGTGGAGGTGGAATATGGACATGACAGTGTGGGAAGATTATATCATTTGGCTTGAGAGTTTTACCTTCTGGAGAGAGTTGCTTGAAAACTTTGCTTTCCATGTTTATAGCAGAGAGATGCAGTGAGCAGAAAAGGAATTAATCTTTTCCAGAATAGCTGTAGGGAACACTTTGTTTTTATTTGARGATTTTGCTAGTCTGGTATCTTAAAGTACTTCTAACCTTAGTCATTCAAAAACCTTGAGTTGAGTTGCCATAAACAGTGTGATATCAGCAGTTCTGATACAGACTGAGCTTAGCTGTGTGGATGGTGCTCTTGGAGGACTAGAGGAAGCTGAGGGAACCAAGTCTGAGGGAACAGTTCATATCCGTGTATGATCTCAATCCCAGCACAGACTAGCTAACAGTCCATTTGTGAGTTTTCTCATCTAGAGAACTTTTCCATTTGTACCAGAACAGAGCCAGTGAGCCTGGTGCAGACTAAAAAATATTTGGTCTGGACAACAAAATGCTAGTACAGTGTGAAGCGAGCAAACCATTAGCTTCACCTGACAGATACCCTCTATTAATCTTTATGGTTCTGAATAGGGACATAATTGTTAAACCAGGCTTCCTGGGGGCTATTGTGGCTTTAAAAAGCCTACTGAGATCTGTAGCCAATACAGCCTCAATCTTGACTGGACATTTTTTAATTGTACAAATGCCTTTTTATTAGCCTAGAATAGATGTTATCGCATCCGTATGTATTCCAACATAACTTTTCTCGTGAGGCCTTGTAGATAAGATTGCCTAAGCTAACCATAAATAGCACATTACAGGATTACATTCTTACATAAGTTTAGTGCAGAGGTTTAGAAGTTAAATCTCGGGTCCCATTCAAGTTTTTTCCCTGAGGCATCATAAACACTGTCGAGTGAGTTACCAACATGGCACTTGCAGTGTTTTGCCATCTATAAAGAAATGCTTTTTGCTACATTAACCTTCCAAAGTGCAGAAGACTTGTCCTTTGCAAGGAAAAAACCTGCACAGATTTGTCCTAAAATTACATGAATGTAACATATGCTGCAATTCCTTCTCACTTAACAGACTCTGTAAGTGTATGGAAGCAGCATCTCTTCAGTAAAAGGGGATCCTCTGGGTCACTGGCAGCCACCTTCTGCATGGAAATTCCAACATCTGTTGCTTGGCTTGAGGTCCAGATCTAACTGCCACTATCTGGGAAAAAGTGTGTAAAACACGATGATACTTATAAAGCGAATTTGTGAAACACATGGTGAATTTTTGCATGCAAATCTTAAACTCATTAGGATTGGTCTTGGGAAATAGGTTGTCTGAGGTGGAGAGATTGGCTTGCAGCATGGAATCATTTTTTCTGAGTYACAAGGAGTTTACAAGGAGCTTTTTCTCTCTGGCTCAATCTACCGGAAATAATCGAGTTTAGGAGGGACGTGTTTTGTATTCAGGCTTGTGTATTTAAAGACCTGTGTCAGCATATAGAGAGTTTCCACCTAACTTTGCTTTGAGGTAGGAGAAAGACATATTAATTGTCCTCTGAAGTAAATCACTGGTGTCTGCATTTTGCAGATTGACAGCTGGAAACAAAAGTTCAAGATTTAACTCTTCCAGAAGTGGGTTCTAATTATTTATGTTTCATATTGGCTAYCAGTGGTAGACATTTAGCATGACTATCCAACAGCTTCAGATAGATGGATAGAGGATGTTAAGAGCTCACAATCCCTTTTTTCCAAGTCCCATGCATGCTTAATTCCCAGGATTTGGCTACCTCTTGCCAGTAAATGTCTCAACCAAGAAATAGGGGACTGTCCAGTGCAATAAGTGGTTCATCTGCAAGCAAAGCTGGTTCACCCATGGGCAGACAAGCAAAAAGGTACCTTTGACCATCTTTGTTAGGATCAAACTGTCCAAGGCCCCAAATTAYGTTAGTGCTTCCTAAAATCACAAGGGTTTGAGGTCATGAATTCATCAAAGCCTGAAGACTACATCTGGATGATGGTTGTGGGCACATCAATATTTCATAATCTCTAAGAGAACAGATGATACTTTTATGCTTTGTGGTTATATGGACATTCGCAAGACCACTTGTCATAAGGAAGAAAATAGACATTTTGATTAAAAGATAAGACCAACATATTTTATCCATGTCACAAAAAGCAACTGTACCATCATGGGAGAAGCCTTCAAAGGCACTGAATTTGGGCTTCCAGTACAATTTGAAAAAACAGTGTTTTTACACATTTCCAAGCAATTCAATAGGGATTGACTGGGTTTTGTTTGAGGAGTTTTTGTGAGTTTGATTTTTTTTAAGTAGTTTGAGTTCTTTTCTGGAAAATGTCGGGTTTTTTGGTTTGTTGTTTTATGTGAGTGAGTGAATAGTACCATTTTTGTTGTGACTGTATGAGGTGTGTGGCAGAGTAGYAGATTAGATACTTCCCACAGCTCTCGTCCCAGTGCTGGCAGTTGCTTTGTGTRTGAAATAGAGTTTCAGAGCTAATTAAGCTAACTTTTTTTCCCACACTACTCTTTTTCAAGTCCTACTGCTTCTGGGAAAATGTTCTACACTCAGTCTTTCTAGCCTGGCATTAATGTGTAGATTGATGGTGATTATTTTGRAAAGCACATGGATGATTTAGGTTTCATTGTATTAAATCACTTTTGAAAATTAGACACAAACACTTGATATCATTGATACACAGGCCAGATTTCACTGTTCAACTATTCTGTTACTGTCATATTAGCACACTTCTCRCAGTGTCTACTTTATTTCAGTTACTGAAAGAACTTTTCTGCTGGAGTACCAAAGCAGTCTCCTTGTAAGAAAAACTTCACATGTGCATTAGAGCACCTGTCTTAATATGTGGCATTAAGATCAATATAATGATTTGAGAAAGGAGAGAGAAGTAAAACAATTCCCATGATGGACATAAGTAGACAAGTGCAAAATCAGCATGTCTACCAACACTTAATCACTTTAGTGTCTTGGAAACTTAGCCAGTATCTCCTTTGGCAGGAATGTGAAGCATTGTGAAGCTTTCTAGGGACAGAATCAAGTCAGCCCTTTTGTGCTAAGAGTTTTCTGTTGATTACTCTTCTCTCTCAGTTTTATGTTCCTACATATTTTAAAACTTGTTTTAAACATTTTGTGCTTGAGGAGGCCAAAAAGAGGCATCCAATTGGGCAATGAAGAAACATGATCCAATTAAAAAAGAAAATCACTCCTRACTATTGGAAAGGGCAATGAGTAGTCTTACCCATGCTAGCTCATGCCATTTTAACTTATTAAATTCCATTTCTACCACCTTTATTCATGCTGCTCAATTATACCACCTCATACATTCTGTTCATTCTGTTCAGGTTGCACTTTGTCTTAATGTAACTGCATTTTTGCCACTGGTTATTGTCTGTCTGATATTTGCGAGACTTAATTGATAAGCTCCCCTAGACAATTTGGGAGYTGCATAATCTGAGTAGCTGCTGTGCTCCATATTTGTGTTTTCAATGAGATCCTCTGCTGACAACACAGATTTATGTGGGCAGAAGACCCTGCTACCTTTAATGAAGCTAGAGAGGAAACCTGACTGTTCCACTAGAACAAAAACTTGCCATAATTTCTCTTTTTTTTTATTTTAAAAACACAAAAAGCTAAGGCTGTGATGTGTTCAAGCTTCACTGGAATCATGCTGGAATCTTGTAGCAGGAGAGGTCCTCAAAGGCAGTGTGGGTAGCTCTCCAGCACCAGTACTTACATGGTCTACTGGAGATGCAGCAATTGCATAACAGGGAAAGAGAAGTCATAAACAAAAGGACCTAAGCCAAACCCTCCCCATGACAATGCAATGTCCTTGTGTCAATGACACAGCAGCATGTAACTGGCAGAGCATATTGTTTCGTTAAAATTAAAAAAGACCAGAATTTTCATGTGTGAACGCCTAGAGATTACCACCTTTACATGTATTTAAATAATTAGCAAGAACAAATAATTTTTCAGAATTATGCTTCTGTTTAAGTCCATGATTACTCTGAGTTTATGAGGAAATTGGGTACCTTCAGACAAGGTGAATGAAAGATTAAGACATTTTCWGATCTTTCTCTGTCTCATTACAATTAGTAATCTGCCCTGATATGCTCTATTAAAATTTATAATGCTTTTTCARTCCCAGCAGTGTTCTCTACCCTATATTTATTGCAGTGTTTTCACATTACCACAGTCATCTTCCATCCTTATCCCAAACTCTCTGGCATTAATCAAAACATTTCTTTGAACTTTGTAATAGGCAGGAAAGTATCCAGCCTTTCCTTGCAATGCTCTGATAGATCTGAGCCATTCAGGTCTACATATATGATGCCACATACACCAYGTAAAGCA